AACTCATGCACACCAGTTCATATTCCCCAAATGAACTGCTTCCATTTGCACGCATGCGCCCGGCACGCGCTTCCAATGAGTCGAGCATGCAAAAACATCGAAACCATTTTCAACCGGGGTGGAGGGGAGCGTACACACCGAACACACAGATTATTCCGAGATAACGCGACACCAACAGCAGGCAGCATTTTTCATAACGATCATGCGTATGATGGCGAACACAACAGTTTTCCAACATTTCGAATTCCAACAAACAAACGGCAGTCGAGAACGAGCAAAAAAAAAAAAACGTATACACAAACTCTCTCAAGAGAACTAAAGTAAACAATGGTTATTGGTGACCTATTCAAGCTATGCCAAGCTGTAACATTTTTGAGCCAACCGCCACTGAAATTCACTCGTTTTCACACACATACTTTTGGAGTGCTTCAGTTTTTCATTTTTCAGAAAGCACGCATTTCTACATCACATTCACCCGAGATTATCGCCCAATGAAGCCAATAAATGAAGAGCTCAACCATTCTCTACACAAAAATCAACACTCAAAGCTTTTGAACGCAATTACCCATCACATCCATTCCAGGCAATGTTTGCTTTTGTGCTTTTAATTTTAACAAACACGCACATTGAACAATCTTTCTGGTACTGTTTTCGGCTTTCAACCATCAATATTCATTTCGATACCAATTTTTCTTTGTAAATTCTTATTTTATTTGGACATAAATGAAATTGAAAGGAGAAAAAAACTTCGACTAAATTAGGAATTACAATTTTTTAATTGGAAATTTCAACGCAACGAATGAGAAAAAAAAACAATCCATTAAAATTGTCATTGGAACATTGGAGACGTTTGATATACGGGAAACATTTCAGTGGGGCATCGTCTGCAAAAAAAAAAATAACCCGGATGATTTTCTGTGGCTTTCATTTTAAATGGGAAAAATCACATAAATTGAAGAAATGAAGAACGAAACCGAGTGCCATTTTTTAAAAATGCGGGACATCTTGTCGTGTCGTTGAATGGATCTCTGCGTCCTCGTCATCGTCGTCATATTCACCATTGATGAAATGCAATGTTGAATCGAATGATTGTCGGTATAATGACGTATCCATTAAATCTCTCGAAATACAAAAAAAGGCACGACTCTTTTGAAACACAAATAATCGGTGCTCAAGTAAAATCGATGCTAATGTATGTGCGTGTGTTTGCTGCTTTTCATATTTCTGCTTCAATACTCGTTTGCTGCATGTATTTCGTTGCGATAGAGTAGTCTTGATGACTAAACAGCGTAATATGAGCATGATGTTCGAAATGATTTAGCCAATTTCTCGTGTGCATATTTTGTTGTTGACAAAATGTAGCATGTGTGTTTTTAGATGAGGAGCATGTGTATTTTATGCTGTTGTAGCACAAAATTGTCAAGCATATTAAAGACTTCTTAACTAGCTACACCACATCCATTTATCACTTTTCATCGCCGAAGCTTCTCAACGTATTGCGCATTCAACTTCGTCTGCAGAGAAGAAAAAAGAAAATAACAACAAGCGATTCACCAACAAGAAGCGAAAAATACGACCGAACAACAGGATTAAGTCAGGGAACAGAGGTAATAAAAAAATAACGACAGCAGCAGTAGCAGCAAACGAAGAAAACACACAGGACTCGCGAAGCAATGTATGGTAGCGACCCATTACGCAGATTCAGCATTGAATCAACTCACACAAGTTCTAAATTATAATAGATGACGTTGTACTCCGATTCCTTCGTTCAATACACGCTTTTATCACCAACACTGCCGCTGCTCACATGCTTTATGTCATACACGCTTCTTCGCATTCGCACAGCATATAAACAAACACAGAGAGCGTTGTGGTAGCAGCTCCTCTCACTCTCTCTCTCTCACTCTCTCTCTCTCTCTCTCTCTCTCTCTCTCTCTCTCTCTAGCAGCATTTATTACTTGCAGAACAAACGAAAATAAAACTATATGCTTTTGGTGTTGGTCGATTGTCTCGGTACTTTGTTGTTGATGCTACTTCTAGTGCCGCTATCGCTGGTGCTGCTGTTTTGTAAAGGGATTTGATGTCGCATGATTATGATTTTGTATTAAGCCTTAATCTTCTCTCTCTCTTTCTACTTCTTGAGCGCATGTATTTTTTTTAATCATGCTTCGTCTGCAATTGCACCAAATGTGCTGAGCATACGCTTTTTCTCCATCCGAATAAATACTATGACATTACAAAATTTCGTATCGGGTGTTCACATATTTCTATTCACTAATTGCTCTGAGCACTTTTAAGCTTTTGATAATAACGGAGGCAAAGCGAATAAAAAAAAAAAACAACAACAACAACAAAACACACACAAATCGAAAATGTGAAGAAGAAAGGCAAAAACTTTTCATGCGACACAAAGGAAATTAAAGCAGCTGAAAAAGAGTTTTTAAAATGTTGTTTAAAATCATATTCCGGATACAGATTTTATACGAAAATGTTTTCTGTGAGCCACAGCTCAAAACTATTTTTTGTACGCATACTGCCGCATATGATGTGTGCACTGTGCACTGTGCACACTTTCAATAGAATGCTGTGTGCAAAGGATAAATTTCCATAAAAATGAAATTAGAAAACAAAAACTCGAAAGATAACACACCGATTCATTTTCTTTTGCATACTATCCTGACTTTCCAAAAAAATCTCTGATTCTCAGTCTCCGAATTCTTCTCATGATTCCGAACTATGGAATATGGATAAATAAGTCTTCCTTTGGATGAACTTGAAAAATCAATCATATATTTCAATTTATTTATTTAATAACCGCCAAAGCTCGAGAGCTGCGTCGAAGGCAAACTACATGCTACTAGCGCCACACTGAAATACATTTGATTTGCATTGTACACGTAAGCGGTGGGAGTTCGAACCAACGACTGCTAGTGTCGAACGTAAATGCACGTAAATGCTGCATAATATTAAACGCACCCATTAATTTATCATTGTTTTCCTATTAAGAATGGATGCGTTTAGAATTATGTGACTTGACACTAGCAGTCCATGGTTCGAACTATCAAATTACACAGATAGGCGCATCCCTCGCCAAGGCTGAATTACAATCGCTTCGAATGTGATATTTGTTCTAAACAATTTCTTACTGAATAGACATCGAATATCAAAACGGTGCAGCGAATGCATTGGGGTTGATCGATTCTTAAAATAATACTATATGCGAGCGGATTGAATGGCCATTTTTTTCGTTTCGTCGAATAAAAACACAACAGTTTGTGTAAAATGTGCTCTTGGCCGAAGAAATTTTATTGATTCCTTTCTTTTGTCGACGTTTCGGGCCTCACGGCTCCTTTGTCAAAACTCCAAAATAAAAACGAATGACAAATAAACATATATTCACTTATAATTAATTTAGTTTAGTTTATCGCTTTCATCGATTTCAAAACGAACAGTGATCAAACAAACCAAAAATGAGCGTCTAAGCGCAATCTAAGTAAAAAGTAACGAAATATTTTTTGTATTTATTCAGTTTATAAGTGAATATATGTTTATTAGTCATTCGGTTTTATTTTAGAGTCTTGACAAAGGTGCCGTAAGGCCCGAAACGTCGACAAAAAAAAGGAGACAATAAAATTTCTTCGACCAAGAGCCCATTTTACAATAATTGTTGTGTTTTATTCGATAATTCTATATGATGGAATCACTAAAATGAGTTTTTCTTAGGAATTTTAGTCATTTTACACTATTTTGATCGTTTAACCCATTTTCTACCAGCGTTTGATTTTTCGAACAAAGGCCATCCCTATTTATATCTCGACCTAGATATAGGCAAGAATAACAGACATATACTCAAAAAGCAAGTGTTGAACATTATTTTTCAAAATGTGTAAGTCCTCTGGGCCTATGTTCAGGAGGTGCTGAGGGAAGCCCAGGGTGGATTTGGAGATAATAAAGAATCCCGGGCTAATGACCAATGTTCGAAAAATCGAACAAAAATTTTCCGGGGCATTTCTGGAAAACTACAAGACGAATTTTCCATCTGAATTTTTTTTTTCATTTTTTCATGCCAAAATAACTCTAAATAGACTTATAGTTAATATTTTTAAATAAAGCATAACGGTTTTTGATTGATCAGTTTGTAAGCCTACAAAAATATGGTTTTCCGGAAAAACTGCAAACAAAATTTTTTCATATGACAGTTTTTTCGGAGTTTCCAGGGGAAAATTATGCTAGATAGACTATTGGTTACTCATTTCGAACCCACTTTTGTACCTTGGTAGAAAATGGGTTAATAAAGTCTAAGGTCATATATTTCAGAGATCAACCTACCCATGCATACCTTACTAAAATTGTAATACGACAGTGCTGTCCAACCCGATGGCCACTGTGCAACAAGTGGCCATGAGACAATTTGATATGGCCACGAGAAGATTATGATGAATTAATTTGGCAAAAGACGTACAAGAATCCGAATTGGGCTGCATTCAAGAATCAAATCAACGACAAAGATTATAGTTTTTTTTCCGTATTATACACAAACCAATTCAATGAGGAATTTGTGCTCGGCTTTGATACTGACATTAATGTTCGATATCCTGATATTTTCAAAAAAATTCTTCTGACATTTAAGTTTCTGAAAAATCCATTTGTTTTCAATCAAAACAATATTCAAAATTGGTCCAATATTTTCATTACAAAAAATAAAACTCACTTGGACTTTGATATTTCGCTTATAAATGAAGAAACTCATTTGCCAAATGAATTGAGCGATGCATTGTCGAACCAATTGCTCTCAAATTTTAAAGATATTATACTAAAATTTCTTTGCATGTTCAGTTCAACATATGTCTGAAATTAATTTGAAATTAAAAAATAACTTAAAACCTTGCCAATTTTCAAAAAACAAACAAAAACTTTTCGATCGTTTTTGTTCTGCACTGTCAGATTCCACTCATTCAATTTCAAAAATATTGCCTTTTTTTTAAATAAAAACACCAACGTTTTTTTTTTCTCGATAAAAATGGTTCTTTTTTAATTTGTATATACAATTTGCGATAGTTCTTTTTATTCAGCATTTTAAAATGCAATTAAATTTTGCATTTTTGCTATAAATGAAAAACAATTTAAATATTTTCTGGGCATACAAGATTTTGTACATCTCATTTTTCGCTTCTTTCATTTCATTCAGTTAGTGTATGATCTTTCTCTCTCCATTGAACGCATTTCTCAATGTGTGTATTTGACAAAAATATATATATATTTATTTAAAAAAAGAGAAGAAAACAATCAGTTTCATTCATTCGTTCAAATGTATGTTCAGATAAGGTAATATATAAAATCAACATTCGTAATAGTATATGGATATATACTGAAAAGAAGAAGAAAAATTTTGATACCAAATGCTGATTTATATATATATATATATATATATATGCATGACAACAATGTACTCAAGTGTCCCAATGCCCTTTCTGCATAATCACAATGTGAATCACTGTCTCTCGACTATGTATTTGGTTTAGTCGGAAGGTGTAAAATAAAACCAATGTCGCTGTCGCTGCCGCTTTCTACCGCATTCCGTGACGACTTTCTCAATCGCCAATCGCCATCGTTGAGGTTCAACGGCAAAGTAATAGAAATTCAATATAAACATCCTCGAGATGCTCCTCATTGTTTCATGAACAAAACAACAAAATAAAATAAAAACAGATACATTGTGTTGTGTTTATTTGTGGTTCGCATCGGTAATCCGTATGTGTGTTCGTTTGTCAATGTGATTGCTGGCGTTGTTTGAGCCCATGTAATTCGATGCCGATGTTATGATGCTACCATTACTGTTCCCATGATGGCCGTTTTGTTTTTGTAACGATGATGTGGTCATTGCTTGCGAGGACGTATGATTGCCGCTGTTGCTGCTATTCTTATGATTCGACAACGATGAGGATGATGATGACGACGACGAATGGGACTTTCGTTTGCTGGACGATGAACTATTTGTACTTGTGTTTAAGTGATGGTTTGGTTGATTGGCGGCTTTCACCAGTGATTGGTAAACTGAGAGGATTTTCGTTGTGTCATAATTCCGATGGTTAATTTTTTGCGGTCGTATGATGCTTTTAAGGCTTTCCAGCAGGCGATCGGTTTCAAGTAGTTTTGGCAGATTTGGTTTTAGTGTTCGTGTCCGTACACGATGTATGACCGGCATTACGGAATATGAATTGGTTGGATCGATGGTTGGTCGTGCAATTAATTGAATACTTTGTTGGTTAATTGGCCGACGGAATATTGCATATCTCGGATTGCCACCGGCCGATGACATTGTACCAGCACTGCTTGGATTCAGTAAAACTATCGGTCCATTCGTTGTCGTTGCGATCGAATTGACAAAATGCATCGGTTTTTTAAATGCCACTTTTGCGGCTGATGCATTCGGACTACTGGCATTCGGGGTTGTGTTTGTGTTGTTCGTATTGTTGATATTTGCATTGGTGGCAACATTGGCATTTGGCGTGGTAACATTTGCAAGGGTTGACTTCACCGAATTCACTACACTGTTCGCACCGGTGTTAATGGCATTCGTAATGGTACCTAGGCTAGGGCAACCAATCAAATTGGCGCTATTTAAACGCATTATCGATCCATTATTACGTAATGCAATCATATTATTTGCAAATGTTCCATTGTGCTGTTGCGTTTGTATTCGATGGAATATTTGCTGTTGAATTTTCTTTGTACAATCAACCGAATGTTTTACATGGCACGTACCTCGCCCGCGAGCCATATTAAAGTGATTCGAAGCAATTGCTCTTGGTACGTATGCACATTTTGATGACGAAAATCGCTGCGATGACGGTAAAATTGGATTATTCGCTGCACTCACTGGCACAGTCGGCACCTCATCATCACTCCAATTATTTTCCACGGAATTTTCCTTTTCACGTATTCGACTCGATTCACTGGAACTACTTCGATTATTGCCGTTGCTACTGCTGCTGCTGCTGTTTGAATAATTGGAATTTATCACGCGTACACCTTTGCCACGCAAACATTTATACACCATATCCAGTAGAAAGCTTTCATTTTCACCAATCGGCACCGGTGAGATGATATTTTGATTCGCTTGATGTTTTGAATTATCGTTTATATCATTTGCATCATTTGGCTGTGGTGCCAATGCATTTGGAGCTGCATTTTGATGATCGGCTTCCGACAGAATCTAGACGAAAAAAGAACATATTGCATGCACAAATATTTTAGACCATTTTCCGTCAAGCTCAATTAGCTGTTTTGGTGTGCTGAATTTGATAACTACCTTTGTCACATTCACCAGATCCGTTGAATTGACCACCGGATCATTCGATAGGGTCATCGATGCCAGCGGTTTCTCAGCAATTGGCGGTGATTGTGTTCCATTTAGTCTCTCTGAATCGGTACGACTTCGACTCGTCTAAATTTACAAGAATTTTACATCATTAGCATACAGTCTATAGAAATACACAGTTTTAAATAGTAAAATTGTACGAATTCGATGAATGGATTCAAATAAAACATCTCAACATATATTTTATAGAAGAATGACAGCAGAATAAAATGTTTGTCTTACGTGATGTTTTATGGTTATGTCGTTGCCGAGCTCTTTTGTTGGCGTTACCGGATATATTGTACCATTTTCCTTGTCTGAATTTCGATTGACGGTGGCATCTGAAATATATTGAATATGATAAGTACAAATGTTCGCAAAACTTCGATTAATTAATTGTAATTGAATTCCGATAGTTCTTATTTCGATAATTTTCTGTCGATTTTACATGCGATAATCGATTTTGTTTGATTGAAAGTTGTCGTAAGAAAATTTTTCTTCACATTTTAAGGGAATTCAAGGTCTTTTAGACCGCAATTACCTCCCTATTATTATTGACCATTTTCATTCATTTGTGTTTTTTTTTTCTTTCAAAAAAATATCGGTGGGTATATATTAACATTGATCGGTTACATATATTTCCCATTCAATTACTACCAAAAAATAAACTTGTGATGAAAAAACGTACCGCTACAATCAAATGATGTCAACTCACCGATGTTATTGTTGGTTGCATCATCGTCGTCATCGTCAATGCAAATGATATCGGAGCGTGGTGCGCCAATGAGAATGTTCGTACCAAAATTAGCATTCGCCGATAGACTGGGTGTTTTCTTGTTTTGTGTCAGATTTGAATTAGGTTTAAGGAGTGTTTGGCTAATGTCATGCGATAATGGTGATGCAGCAATGCCTTTGGTTCCATCTTTTGAGCTCTTTGATTGATTGGAATTGTCCTTGGATTCATTGGTTCGTTTCCGTTTTCGTTCTCGTTCCGATGCCGAGCTTTCATGTGAACGTTTACTGCTCGATTTATTTTGTGTCGGTGGATACGGTTGGCTACTGTTGCTATTGTTATTCATCACCAAATCAGCCTCATAATTGAAATTATCGAAATTTTCCCAAAATGTCATATCTAATCCATCACCATTGTCATCGTTAATTAATTCATTCATTTGCATTGAATAATCGCCCAGGTTTGCCAACGACGCCGATGCGTTTAGTCCGGTTTGGTTGAGTCCATGGTTGTTGTTCGATGTACTCGTTGTGCTGGACTGCATTGCCGACAAGCTCGAATTATATAGGTCACCAATTTGCGATGCATTATTTGAGCGATCGTCTGGGCTGGGTGTGAATGGTATTGCGTTGCTGATTTTTCGATGTGTATTCACATCGGAGTATGTGAAATTTGGCGTTGATACACCGCCACTGCTCGACACTGCTGACGTTATTGACGATAATACAGATGGAAGCGAATGTGTTCCATTCAATTGTTGTGAAGATGATGTGGAAAATGCCGTACTATGGTCACTATTATAATTTCCTATCGTTGACTGATTACTATTACTAGAGAAACTTCTTCGTTCCATATCGAAGCTGGACGATGAATTGCTATCGCCAATCGATTCCAATAATTGATTGCCATTGTCTCCCGTCGTGTAATTTGTCTGAAAGTAGAAAATAAATTGAATTGTGTCAAGTTAGGTTAGATTTATGCTTTGCTCCATGTGCCTCGAGCGTTAATGCATATTATGATTGCACACATGCCCGTTTTCGCCCGTTTGCTTTACCTGTTTACTAGTTGAATGTTTGTGTGTGTCTTTGGCATTATTTCGATGATCGGCCAACAGTTGATCGAACGGCTTCGAACGTCCTTCCACATTTCGACGCAATGAAATTTGATGGGTTTTACATGTTAATGATCTTGTACATGGTTTCATATTTCCTATTCGAACGCCACAATGCTTTTCTGGATCGTATTCCCGATCCTTGACCGGTAATACTTTACGATTCCGTCGACTACCGTTCCCACTTCCACTGCCCGACGTCGATGTCGATATTTTTGATAAACTAATTGGCGAATTACTATTTGACGATGAACTATTAACAGCAGCCGCAATATCTGCAACGGCATTCACGGAAAGGGGGAAAATACATTCATGTTTAATTTCATTAGCCAAAGGTTATCCATTGCATTATTTAGTGTGCATCTCATTTTGTTTCAAAATTCATCTAACATACTTAACATATATATACAATCAGTACGTTGCAATCAATTATTCAGTGCTATTGACACTGCACATTTCAAAATGGCCTATAAAAGATTCGAATTTTTGGTTCTTCTGACCGATATCAGTCAAGCACATATTTAGGCGATTTGGATGTGAGCATATGCTTTTGTTTATGATTTTGAGCATCGGAAATTTGTTAAAGTACGAACATTTCAATTTCCATATGAATTTCATACGCAAGATCATTTTTTTTTTTCAAATATTAATTATTTGATTCATAAAAAGAATCGAAATTCTTTGTTGAGATGACGTGAGTTGGTTATCATCATTCGCAATATCCTTACCTGATGATGAATTGATTGGTGTCGGCGGTGCCATTTTCGAAACATTCAATCGATTCGAGAATTCGGCTGATAATGTTGAATCGACACCTTTTGGCGTCGATAAACTGTTGTTTGTCATTCGATTGAATGTCGGAGTGCCAGCATTTGGTAATGTGATACTCGCTGTTGAACTGCCCTTTGACGGTATTCGTAATTTGCCACTTGAAGGTGCTGGCACGATTTTCGATCCATGTACTCGTTTCACGTGCCTCATTATACCTTCTGGTGCCATTATGTGATTACACTGATTGCACAACACCATTGGACCCGGATCGCTCGGCGACTCGCCATACAAATTGCAATCCGTTAGATCTAATCGTTGTACATCAGCTGCGGCGTACGGGAAAGAAATAAGAAAACATTGTGTATGCATTAGTTAAATTTCCTTCTAGTTTTTATGCAATGAAAAATTGTGTAGCCACTTACCTGTTGTTCTCGATGGTAGATTCGTGCTATCGAGATCGAAATCTGCTCCATGGCCATCGAAACAAAAACAGAAAGAAAACGAGGTTTACCGAACAATGGTCAAACCGAAATTGAGTAGTAGATAGAGAAGATGTGGCAGTGTTTTCAACCGCCTGACTCACCTATCAAATTGGCTACATGCTTTTGATAGTACGACCACGATTTGCCCCGCATCGAAAACAAGCTAATTGAGGCTTGCGTCGAATGTTTACTGTGTGCATTCATGTTTGTGTCTTCTTAGTTTTTAGACGGTTTTATTTTTAATTGTCGATGTAATTTTGTTAATTTATTTTTAATTCGTTTTGTTTATTTACTCCTCTTTATCCTTTATATTATTCATTCACATACACACACGCACACCCACTAGCTGCGAAAAGGTGTGCCGACTCGACGTTGATTCGAGATGTGAATTCAATAAATATTGAACAGTTACTGACTGAGATAAATTAGATAGATTTGTGTTTCTGTAATTGTTGTCTGAGAAGGAAGATAAAAGGCGCATACGATCCCGATAAAAGAAATTATTTCTTCTCGCGTATTCAAAATAATACTATGTCTTATGCAAATCGGAATTTCACTTGCTAATTCTCATGGTAAGTCATTTGATTTTTTATTGTAGCTGTTGTTTCTTATTTTTGTTGCTGTTTTAATTTCATTTCTTTTCTCTCAACAACGGAAAAACTGTTTTCTCTTCTTCTTTTTTATACTGTTTTATTAATGTTATTTGAGGCTGGTTCAAGTTCATTCAGCAAAACTTAAAAACGAAAAACACATACACACACACACACACACGTTAAAAAGTGCGCGTTTTTGTGTTACGATAACTCTTTTCAAGCACACATATTTTCAGTCATTTTTGCGTCGATTTATCTCTTTCAATTTGTGACAAAACCGATTCATACAAAACAAAACTCATTTTAAAGTTGCTACGATCATCTTTGGATTTTTGGAAACATTTTGTACCTGCAAGCAAAAATAAAGCAGAAATAAATCTTATTATTTACTATCGAAAATTTATAAAAAAAAATTCAAATGTAATTTTATTTTTCGTTCTTTTGGAATTTTCGGTAAAATTATCAATTAAAATTATTATGCAATGAAATGAATTCCATTCCACTGAAGCTCGTCGAAGAAAAGTCTTCTACGATCAGAAAAGGAGTTTCTGGGCTTGAGCAAAGATAAATATTCTACGCAAATTCTAGCTGAGTCAACGAAAAAAGAAAAATTGATTTGGTTTTAAATCGACCGAGATTGCATTGATGGAACAAGAAATCGAGTTGCAAGATTTCTCTTGGAACAAACTCGACGCCTGCAGTTCAAATAAATGAAATAATGCATACGAGAGTGAGAGAAAGAGAGTGTTTGTGTGTTCTTTTTATTCTTCCAAATATATAAGATATTCAAATAGATTGAACCTTATTGTTCAGAAGACGATAAAATGCATGCAGACAAATTTTGATACTGCAAATACTTTACACAAGTGCGCGCTCTCTCACTCACTCACTCACTCTCTCTCACTCTTTTTCTGCTTTTTTCCCTCTCAGTTGAATCGTGCAAGTTTTCTTTCTAATTAAAATTGAAATCAACATGACAGTGACATTGGATGGGGTTTGTTTCGATGAGAGCGCTTGCTCTTGCTCTCATATATTTGCGATGTCCCCGTGTTTTGCTCTCACTGTGTGTGCTCTTTTTTCTCTCGACTCATCCTCTTTCGGGTCGAATCTCATTAGCCAATGGAACCACACAGGTACGATTGAGTCCATGAATTGGCTAATGGATTTTCAATTATAACACATTACTCGGCTATTTACTTTTTTATTTTGTTGTTAGTTATGATGCTACTGCTGCTGCTGTTGTGGTTTTTGTTGCTGTTGCTGGTGGTGCTGCTGCTGCATTTCGAGCACGCACATCATATAACAACACACAGAACTATGCCATTTTCCGTAATCCAAATAGAAATTTTACGGGTACGAACACAATTTATGGCAAATGCAGCGCGATTTTGTCTACAAATTCAGGCAATATGAATGAAAATGAAGTACATTAAATCACAAAATTCGATTAACAAAATTGATGTTCCATGTATTCTTCTCCTCCGTCTAACACTATTCGATCATCATCACACTTTTTGATTTCGCCTGTTTTTTTTTTTTTAATTGTATTTTACTTTGAGTTCGAACCACAATGGAAACCTATATATTTTTACAACTTTGAATTTATGTTTTATAGTAAAACACAACAACAAAGCACACACACTAGCGCATACACACTCACATAAGGTAGTAAAAAATATCGTCTGTATCGAAAAGAACAATGTATACGTATACAGCGAGAGATATGTGGATCGAATGGTGCTTACACAAGCACATGCAACATGAGCATGACAGCAACACATACACATACGCATCAAACACACAATGTTGTCTCGCAGTGAAAAAGATTTTCTCTGCATTTCACACATGGGAAGGCAGTCGAACGCACACCATTAAAACGGTGTCGATCCATTTTTATTCTTCTTCTTCTCTTCGCTATCGTCGTCAGTCGCTCATAGTGTGTTTTGTTTGGATGGCAGTGTGTGCGTGGCCATCCAAGATGTCTGTGCCATTGAAACCACCACGAGCCACAATGTGCGTATACAAAATTGTTCACCTGTGTGTATTGAGCATACAGATTTGGTGATTTGTGTATGGGTTATCGTAAATGTGTGTATGTGTATGTTGAAGCACACATCGTTTACTTTTAAACACCGACATGCTACTTCAAACAAGAAAAACACGACATGCTGACACATGGATTCTATTAATTTGCCTGCACGCACACCAAGGCACAGCGCGAAATCAAAAAGGAAAAAAAAAATAACCCGTGTTTCTCATCCGAATAACAAATCAGCGCCATAATGGATTAAATGCCACAATATTCTCTATCATCCGAACCCACACAGACAATGCGTGTGCATGCATATGTATTTTAAATAAACCAGGGCTTGTTTCGACCACCGATTGGATCAATCGGAATTTTCGGAATTTCTATGAAATGAAGCAATATGTTGTGGAATTTTCTCCCACTTTGTCTCCCACACAAAAGAGGAATATAACTTTTTGGAGTTTTTCTTCAATTTTTCGAAATGTGAAATAAGAAATTTCAATTCGAATGGTAAAAAGATTTTGTAAAAAATTGCCGGAATTAATCCCATTGAAATGCCTTCAATACTGGGTACTTGAGTCTTTAATTATGGCAGCAAATCTACGTCTCGACAAAATTCGATAATATTAATCTCGATATATTCTCGCAATGAAAACGAAAAAAAAAAAATTCCCTAAAATATGCCCTGACTCAGAACGATATACAGAAACGAAACGAACACGATATGTGTTGAGTATTCGTCGCATGCAAAAACGTTCAACCAATACGTACACATTCCAACCGATAAATATACCATCCACATTTTCCATCCTACATACACACATGTAATTCACAGTGCTACCACTTTGGTCGAGTTCCAACGTGTGTGCATATTATATTGTAAGTGAATGCACCTATACAATCGAAAGCCGCAGAAGGCTTGTGGTTGAATGAGACACCGTCAACAAAAAAAAAATTTCTTTTTTTTTTCGTTGTGCTTAACAACATGGAAAAAGCAAGAAAAACTTTTTAGTCTAACTCGAAAAAATTAAATTATTCACTTTTTGGTGTGAAAAGTGAACGAAAATGGGATCGTTGAAAGCAGAACATGATTTATTGGGATTATTGGTATTTATTTTTTCTCCTCGAGAAACATTCGATGATATGTGTTACTAAATGGATAATATAATTGAATCAATGGATGTTAAGCAAATTTTAATGGCAGAGATACAATTAAAATAAGAACAATAAATACGAACAAATAAAAAGTTATTTTTTGAGCAAAAAAAAATGACAAGATAAGAAATTCTGCTCGGTATAAGAGCCCCATCATTAGCAATAACCGACTAAATAAACAAATGAGGCGATGACCACCAAAATTGTCCACTTGAAAAGATGAAAAAAGAAAGAATTGACTCAATAGAATATGGCTATCTCATGATTCATTTGCGATTTTTTCGATTCTTTCTTTTGCATTTATTCATTTTTTGGAGGGACAATTTTTTTCGCTTTTGGCTTCCGCAACATGCGAAAAATGATTTTTTTTCATTTGTTTGATCGTCATTTTTAGTGTTTAATATATGTTCATAAAATGTCTTCTTTGTAACTCCTCACAGCTCTTCAATCATTGGTTTTTTATTTGTGTGGAGGCAAATCGTAAATTGCGTTAAATAAAAAACAACAACCAAAATCGCTCACGGTAATTCAAAATACAACATTTTCTTTCCATTTTTCTTTGTTTGCGCGAGTGATTTTTTTTTTTACTTTCTGTTTTGTCTCGCAAAATAAAATTAGGAAAAAAAGTCTTTCGAAGTAACGAAAATCAATTCCCACAAATGGCAACAACAACAACAACAATGAAACAAAAAAATGTAACACAATTTTTATTTACAATTTATTCTGTGTATTATATTTTCTTTCTCGGTGCGCTCTCTTTCTTTTTTCGCAAGAAAAAAAAAGAAGAAAAACGAGAATCCGCGAAAGAAAAATCGAGTAATCCAAAGCGAATTTTTGTTTCGCTCGTGTAATAATCAGCTTTTCCTGTTTGACGCCGATGGCAGCAAAATTTCTTGACCGATTTTTTTCTTTCGTTTTCTGGTAGCGTTTTATTCTCGTCTTTAATTTTTTTTATTGGTTTAAAAAAATTTTCTTCTTGGATGAAAATGCTCGCTTAAAAAAAAAACTGCTTTTTTTTTATCTTCTCGTTTCCGATAAATTACATTTTAACAAAAGTAACTTTTGCAGAGGCCGAGAGAGTGAGAGCTTGAAATATACTCGATGATTTTACCTACTCAATGTATATGATTCGTGTATGTAGAAAGTAATAAAAGTGCTGTTTCTCAGTTGTGCCTCTGTTGTGTGTGCCGTTCTTCGTTTTCTTCGTCTTTCTTTGCCTTTTTGTTTCACGTCTCTGTCGGATTGAGTTTCCGTTCACTGTTCGCAGCTTCTAAATATACATCCACTTTACTACTTTTACGAACGTCTCTCTGCTCTTCTCACACTTTGTTTGTATACAGAACCAACGGAATGAACGAAACGAACAAGCGAACGAACGACGACACGACTCAATCGTACCTACGAACCGCATACTAACACGCACACTTTGCAAAAGTGCATGGTGTTCGCATTCAAATGGTAGTGTGTGTGCTTGCGTTTTTTTTCTTCATTTCATTTGACATTTCTCGACAAATCGTCATCGAACCGAACGGAACGACACACATCTGTCAAAATTTTCTGCCAACTATTCATGTGTGGTGGTGCGACCTGGTGTGTATGTTGATTACGAACACGATGGATTGTTGTGATTGTGAACATGTGAGATCTTTACTTATTGACATTCTGACACACGCATACAAAAGCACACGCACATGGACACATACACAGAAACACACTTACACAGGGCAGACAGTGGTGCCATTCAATGTTGGCTCTTCTTCGTCAACATAAAATGGCAATCGCATGTTGCTCTGGTGGAGGAAAATAACACTTATTTTCACCAGATGTGCTGCATGCTTGTGTTACACGTTTTTTTTTGCCGTGCGGCAACACACATCGCAAACACTCGCAGTACAATCAGATCAATGGATTGAATAAGAGACAAAACAAAAATTATCGATTGTACCGTAATAAGTTATGGGAAATAATACTTTTTACTCTTTTCATTAAAAGCTGTCTTAAAAACTTATTTAAAAAACAATCTTGTCATCTGAAAAAGAATTGTATTCCATTTCAAGGTGATTTTTGTAGTCCAATCAAAATGTCGATATTATTTACACATTGTAATATTGTTTCAACATCCAACGTTACTAATCAGTTTCAAAGATATCGATTACATAAAGTTAGCTGCAATATCGATACAATTCGCTTGTTGACTTTGAATTTGATATTGATTCCATTTAAATTATGTGAACGCCATCTACTGAGTTTATCATGACCGTTACATTTATTTCTGCTTAAGTACAACACGATATCGATCACGAATGACCTCTGGGTTTTACATTCAAAATTATAATGTATCAATTTGGGTATTTAACAAGGAAAAACATTTACAAAGATGTTGTTAGAAAAGCTTTTTCGAATAAGGAAATCGTTTGATAAGAATATTGGAAGATTCGCATTCCAAAATCCACTAATTCTTACCGTAATTGTCTCATTCTTGGACTTTCTTATGTTTTAATTAAATATTTTTTCAAATGTGATCCTTTTTCTTCTCTCTCGAATAGAAAATCAAACGGCTTGTTCTTTTTTCTTAAGAAAAATAAATCTTTACTTTTATTCAACATGGTGGTGTATTATGGGATTAGAGATTAAGAAAAAGTAAAAATAATGCTACACCGCGCAATTTTGCTTACTAAACTATACATATATTGCTGAGCAACACACAATCTTATCCAATCGAATGTTTGATCGAGCTAATTTTTTTTAAGTGTTACCTGCTGCATATTTAATTCACTCACAAGTCGTTGTTTGTGACCGATTTTTTTTTTCCTTAAAAAACAAAATTACAACACCGTTCACGGGCAATTTTATTACATTCTGTTTGTGCAAAGATTCAAAATTTCTTTGTTCCTCTTGAACACTTTGGAAATACGAAATACTTAAATTGAATTTAACTACCCATGCCGTGTATTGACCGATTCAACAAAGTTTTTTTTTTCTATCCGTCTATATATCTTAAACTCTTTGTTCAATGCCTGAATCTTATGTTTTGTTCAGACGCACAAGAACCGTATGATGATATTTGCTTTACAGCAGGAATTCTCATTCATGGTTCAGGAATTTCCTGAGAGACAACTTTTAGCTTCCTTGTTGACCTGTATATTTGATTCGATTCATTGACCAATTCGTTTAATTAATCTGGGGTTTCATCATCACAAGCCAGTTCATATTTACAATTACTATTTGCATGATATTTGGCTGTTTTTTTTTTTGTACCTGTTCCATAAAATACGAAACACACACTCAGAAATTTCCCCTGCTGTCATTAGATTTATAATTTGAAAAAGGAAAAAAAAAATTCAATAAATATTGTGCAATTTTAAATCGCTCTGATTTTGGAGAAGTTTGAAATAAGATTGACGATTTTGATAAAAAAGAATGCTACAAGTTGAAGACAATGGCCATAGCGATTTGCTTGATATTTGTTTCCCCTCAAAAAATTTGAGTCAAAATTCGAGATTGCATTCAGTAAATCAAGCCGAACTGAACTATGGCGCATAAATTGACAAAGATTTTTATTTTCTTTTTTCCTTCTGATTCAAAACTGGTGCTTTAAAACTGCTAATTGACGAATTATGATTTGAATTTTTCAAAGACAAAAACGCTCTTCTGTACAAAGCTCAATTTTCATTTCAAATATAGATCAAAATTATTGTGTATTTAAAAACACTGTATTATCAATCCAGTTGCACTCATTATTGCGGCAGCAACACAATTCTTGTGTATTTTTATAAAGTAACCGCCCCCAGGGCTGAAGCATGACAATTTCTGAGTGTTGGCTGTATTTTTTTTTCCATTTTCAGTGCTCTGCATAAGATTATTATCATCATTACAAGTTCAACGTGTATTAAAAATATAAACTATGTTGCACTCAAATAGGTAAAGAAATTAACAAAAATATTGTTTGAATTATATGTGTATATAACGATAATTAGTTTCAATATAAATGTATAGTGTGTATATCGGTATACTGTTTTTTTTTTTTTGTGTGAGTGAGAGAGAGAAAGTACATTTTTTCGCTACGTAATAAATTGCAACGAAAAATGCATTTGAAATGTTCATCGAATTTGCCACTCTGAATAATAGTAATAATAATATCTATCTATATATATATATAATAAGCTTATTTGCAATTTGTCTTTTTTCTTTCTTTTCGTGTCAGAATGGAATTTGTGTGTTTCCAACTATATTAAAGTAATTCGAGAGAGAAATAAAAACAAATAAATGGAATTTGAAACGGAAAAAAGCACACACAAAAATCTAACTTAAAAAAAACTGTGTGTACTATTTAACGAGAAGAACACTATTTTGTGTGGCAATCGTTGTCGATTTTTCAATCATTGGTTTGATCGAAGCGTTTGCTTCGGGCAATAGTTTGGTTGGTGGATAATTCCATGGTTGTATTTCGGCCGTACCATAAATATGGAACATAACATATGTGGTGCAAGCGATTATTGTCATTGTGATAAACGCCAATTTCCATTGATTGACATCGGTAACGGTGGTAACAATGAGACCATTGACGACCGGATTCAAGAATGAGGCACTCATGTGAATCGTTTGAGCAAAGGCTAATACTGGACCGGCTAAATTCGGTGCAATATCAACAATATTGGCCATTGGGCCGGCATATGAGGCGGTTATAAATGTCACCGATATGAACCAAATCACAAGAATCACATAGAAATCGGTGCAATAACCAATAAATAGCGCCAAAATGCCCGGTAATACTTGGGACAGGACGGTGAAGAGTTTTCGAATATTTGTCAGCGATAGCGTTTGACGTTCCATCATGTAATCGGCTATCCAGCAGAAGATTACCGATGAAATGTATGAGCAAAGAAATGGTGTGCCCGACAGCAATCCGTTCGTTTGAATGTCAACGCCAAGTATGTTCTTCATATATGTCGGTCCGCCCATTATGAATGTGTAATGCACCCAAATGCGACCAAATGTTGTCACACCAATCGCCCATGCCGGTAGTGATGTGAATATCTTACGCCATGGCACCATCATACCTTGTCCAGCCCGAATGCTGTCATCAATGTTTCGTTGAATGTACTCGTATTCGTGGCACGATATGCGTGGATGCTCTTCTGGTGTATTGTATGCCAATAAGTACCACATTAAGCACCAAAACATTCCAATTGAACCGCTGGTATAGAAGACAATTCGCCATCCCCAATGATTGATAATGAAACCGCACATCGGATACGTTAGGCCAATGCCAACACTAAACCCTTGAAAGCTTGACATGAAACGGCTGCGCTCTTTTGCTGGGATCCAATAGCTTACAACGGCATACATGGCTGAAAGAAATGAAAGAATAACGCGTTTTTTTTTTTTCATTAATTTCTTTTTTTCTCGGCATTTTTTCAAACATTCTTCATCTCTTCGCTTTTCTATATGAATTTCGTTATTTTGGTTTGTTCTTCAATTAATTTTCTTGAGGTTTTTTTTTTCCTCACCTGGCCACGTTAAACCCGATGCAAATCCTTGAATTGAACGCAGCAATATCAAGGCACTATAATGATAAGACGATGCAAGCGGTATTCCTAAACTACATGCGGCCGTCACAAATTGTGACCATCCAAACACATTCTTTGTACCAAAATACTGAGTAGCTACGCCGCCAACCACCTGTTGGTTTGAAATAGAGATGATAAAAAGCCCGATGTTTTAGTATCCATAGTTGTTAAATTGGAAAAAAAAAAATCAATAAACCAAAAATTTAGTGTCGATTGTGTAAATCGATTAGAACAAAATTATTGAGGGAAAATCGGTTTAAAAATTTATGTAATTTCTAAAATGAGATCGACACTTACATCGAAAATCGTTATTATTTAATGACTTATAAAGAGCTGAGCTCGTTATATTTTTATTACTGTGACGTCAGTAGAAAAACTATAATTAAATGAAAATTGAAATTTTGGCCGGTTGTTACCACTCACCTGAGATAAAACATAACAAGCGTAAAATGAACCCAAAATAACCGACTGCACCGATGATGACCATTCAAATTCACCATTGTCCACATCGATTGGCACTTTTGTATCACTAGCATTCATGGATGCATTAACGGTTGATTGAAGGATGGTGTCAGTGTTACTGTTGTTTCCCCGAACCATTGAAACCAACGCAATATTTATATCGTTGCGCATCATAAATGACACAAGAAAACCGGACCATGATAAAAAGTATAGCACCAACCGGGCTGGAATCCAACCTGTAAACGTGAATAAACGAAAAATTGTTAAAGAAACCAATTGGTCATTTGGATTTGATTGCTTATAAACAAAATTTTAAAACAGAGCCGAACAAAACAAAAACCTTGACACTTACTGGTATTGCATTCACTTGTCACAGTATTGTTGCCATAAATTCGATCGCCCACCAATCCGTTTTGATTGAAATGACGACTACATTTAACTAGTTTGCACTTGCCCTGCAAGCGCACCTCTCGGCTTAATGACATGTTTTCGGTTTTCTATTTCAAATGCAGAGAAAAACAAAACAAAATAAGGAAGAAACAAAATTAATTCAAACTGTTTCGATGCAGTATCTTTCAGCGAGTGTATTTAAAACGTAATGTGAGTCAAGTTTAAATAGTATAAAGTCCAATAAAGTCGCATTCTAAAAACGGTTATCACCGGACATTTTACGCTTTGGACTTCAAGTAGGAGACAGCCTATCGGTCGGATCAACAACTGAATTCCGAGATAGTCTTTTGAATTCGTTGGCTTTTTTTCTCTTATACTTCTTCTTCTTCTTCTTTGTTTAAATAGCATCGCATCGGTTAAAGCATACAATCCGAATGTGTTTTCGGTGTATTGTTTACAAACAACAAACATATCACAATGATAAACATTATTGTAACTGCGGAGATAAGTGCTGTATGTTGAAATAGTTGATATGCTGCATTTCCAGCTCAGGCATGGATGAGTACACAAAAAAAAACATCCGTCGCTTCCGTTTATGGATGAGCATTTGATAGATCTGAATAATTCTATTTAAATCTTCATTTTCCAAGGTCAGAGCGTGCCGTTTACGCTAAGAACATACATTTAAATGACTCTAAACAGTAAGCTGATGGATTCAATGAGAAACGTAATCAAATGAAAACGTCTCAAATTCCAAAGCAATGTCCATTTTTCACTGTTTTGATTGTATGGAAATTCTGCATTTCAAAGTAATTCTGCTGTTTCGTCAAAAATTATTATCGAACCGATTATCGCATATCAATTTTCCTTTTGCATAACGGAATGTAATTTAAACTGAAACACATTTCGTTTTCTGAATATGGGTTGTTGTATTTCACAAACACAGATTCCGGGTTAAGTAAGCACATTATTCCTTGAGTATTATAATAACAATAATGATAATAAGCAGTTGAGTTGTAAAAAAAATGTTCTTCGTCATCATTTCAATACAAATGCTTAAAATGTGACACTTTAATCAATCCAGTTTATGTTTGTTTGAATATAAAAACGGCATTTAGCTCTACTTCTCTCTCTCTCTTTCTCGGCCTATATCGCTAGCTCAACCGTATGAGTGAAACTATTTCCGAGACCAGATTTATTTGCCATAAATCACAATTCCGTTGAAATCATGTGCTAGGTTTGAGTGTATGATTCCAACAACCGTGTGCTTTTTTTCTTCAATTTTTCATGTCACAACGATAACACCGAATGAATGAATTGCAAAAGTTTAGGGGTCGAATATCGTATGAAAATGTATAAACGCTACATGAAATGCGCAATATCAACAATGAAATCATGACATCAATATGAAAATCACGTGTGTATTTCATAAAACGAGTTTGGCAATTATTTGGCCGGTGTGCAATCCTTGGTGCAATCGTCAGCGAAAATTGATTCGATCGCTAGATAAACACCGTTTGGGTGTTTAATTAGTGCTTAGAAGCAATTAGAGCTGTGTTTTTTTCATTTCTATCTGTGAAAGTGAAACGTGATACCGCGAAAAAAAAAAGAGATACTAATTCAAGTATTTGTTGACTGTGGTGTTGTTTTCTCCCGTGATATTTCCGTCAGTCCGTGACATTTAGATCAAACCTTGATTTTCTTCTCGTTAAGCCACCAAGCCCATTTTGTTTTAATAACAAAAATGTCTACAGCAATCAATCAACAATGCCCTATATAGATATGATCGATCCATAAACAAACATTTCCGGTTTAGTGGGGGGGGGGGGGGGAAACGGCGATAAAATTTGCAGTTTTGGATGAATTAATGTTGCCTGCAACAAACTGCGCTCTAAATGGAAAGTACTAAGCAATGCATGCTCTAACGGCATCTATACGGTACAGTTTGGAAGTATAAGTCAGTGATCTTCCGATAGGGACAAACGCAATGCAAACTGAACTCTGAACGGGGCTGGAATTCTAAGTCATTCCACCAAAATCGTTCGGAATTATTTTTTTTCGTACATAAGACCATATTGGAGTGAAAGAGAGAGATTCCACTATTTTTCAGCGTGCCACCGGAATTATTTCTCACACATTCCACTCTTCCTTGAGTTATCGGAATAATTCCGATGGAACGCTGAAAAACAGTGAAATCTCTCTCTTTCACTCCAATATGGTCTTATGTACGAAAAAATAATTCCGAACGATTTTGGTGGAATGACTTAGAATTCCACCCCGGTTTTGGATTTTCTGAATTTATTACCATTGCGCTTCACTGTCTTGGTTCCCTGTGTTTATTGATCAGTAAAAAACAATAACAGTATATACGGGGGGAACCAATCCTTTTTTATGGATAATTATCATATTTCGATATTGTTTTTTTTTGTGACGAATTCACTGGGTTTACTTTCGTGATTCAATTGGCCGATACACTCATTCTTATTATTGTTTCATTTACTCAATGGAACACGTCGCTAGATAACAAAATATACATGTTTGAAAACAGCGTTGCTGTAATGTGATGCAGAATGAAGAAATCATGATTTGATTTGTTAACATATGGTCATTTTTATTTTGTTTTTCAAAAATGAAAAAAAGAGAAAAACAAATACAGTGCACGTATATTAAATGAAGCACTTTAAGCTCAGCTGTTTTTCATTATATCGATTTCCCATCGAAAATTACAATACAGAAAGTAGTTCAAGTTATGAAGAATACACGAACGGATGGATGTACGTTCGACGTGTTTGTGTATGCGTCGTAACGATTTCATTTCCAAACGATTTAAGTTCACATTCCATTGAAACCACTTTCAATTCCTAGGCGCACTCTCCTCCACAAATAGGCAAAAAGCGTCTCGTTCATCATATAGAAAAGCAACGAGTGATTGAGAGCATGATTTCATGCAATTTATGTTTTATTGCGACATTCCGGCAGACGTTTTCATTCCGGATTCATGGTTAAAATGAAGTTGGAAAAAACAGGGAATGATGAAAAAAAAAGCTTGATTTCATCATGACACACACACACACACATGAGCTTCACAAAAGGTACGTGCATGAATTTTCATGCAATGAATAAGTTAACAAAAGACATAGAATGCTAAACATCTGCTCTGTATCCCAGAGTTTGTTCATTTCACAAGTGCGGAAAATTGGAATTCTTTCGTAATATTCGCACCAGGAATGCCAATTAGAAGTGGAATGAGACAGAGAGACAGAAAGTGGGAGAAAGAGAGAGAGAGAGTATATAAAGCATAAATAATTGATGAGTGCCGTTGCCAATTGACATAATCGTTGTAATTGATATTTTGCTTGTGGAACAATTAAAATTGTCAAGTTCGAATAGGTTCGAGTAGAAAGTACTCTAAGAGCCATCATGAATTCGATCTGCAATACATTGAGAGAGTTCATTAGTGGGCAGAATGCGTGCCAAGGCGCCTTCTTTTTTTTCCCTTGTCCAAATCGACCGACTCGGTTACATAATTTATCGATACATCAAAGATAAAAACATGCACCAAAAACATAGCACTTTGGAATTCGCCCCGATCAATATACACGTTACTGCCGATTATGGCTTGGATGGTTTTGCCTTATTTTACCAAGCTTTTTTCTTCTTTTTCTACTTCTTTCATAGCGTCTTTTTTTTTTGTCTGTCGACTAAAATGTGTTTGACTTCAGCTAAATGTACGCGGTCATCCTATTTGTTTATTTATTTTTGTCATTTATGCCTTGGACGCTTGTACTTGTCTATTGTTAACCCTCTAATGCATACAACCGCCTTCAGACGGGCAACATTTGAATGCCTGTAGAACGTAAACCGTACATCGGATCACATTGCTTCAAAGGGAATTTTTATTTATCAATGTTTTCTCTTCATTTTTTTCTTTGACAATATTTGTCTATGTAGTGTGATTGTAAAGTTATTAACAAAAATTTGACAAAATAAATTATTTTATTTCTAAATTAGACACATTTTTGACACTTTTAAACAATGGATTTGATTGTTCTCTGATTTATGTCAATCGCATTTCCTGACTAAACCATGAGGAATCCAGGATTATGAATTTTTTTTTTTTATTATCTATGGCCAAAAATCAACCAAGTACCTGGGAGTACTGGGAAAAATTAATGCATTAGAGGGTTAATAGTGATCGATGGCCTCAATCTTAATATGTGAACCCATCTAATAAATATGGAAGGCTGAATATTTGTTGTTCTACAAATGAAAGAAAAAATCAATTTCTTTGGTGGTACCGATATGTCGCGCTTGCTTCTTTTAATTCTTTATTTTTTCCACACGCTCCCTTTTGTGTTTAGCAAGCTTAGTTTCATTTTGTGTTCAATAATTTTTTTTTTCTTTTGGTGTTGTCTTTTAAATTAATAATAAATTATTGAACACAAAATAAAACTAAGCTTGCTAAACACAAACGGGAGCGTGTGGAATAAATAAAGAATTAAAAGAAGCAAGCGCGACATATCGGTACCACCAAAGAAATTGATTTTTTCTTTCATTTGTAGAACAACAAATATTCAGCCTTCCATATTTATTAGATGGGTTCACAAGTTAAGATTTAGGCCATCGATCACTATTAACAATAGGCAAGTACAAGCGTCAAAGGCATAAATGACAAAAATAAATAAACAAATAGGATGACCGCGTGCATTTAGCTGAATTCAAACACATTTTAGTCGATAGACAAAAAAAAAGAAAATTCCAGCGGCCCCGTTATAAAAGAAGTCGAAAAAGAAACAAAAAAATTGTGCAATGAATATATGTTTGAATATCGCACAACATTCAATCAGCTGAATAAAAAGAAAAGTCAGCGCGATACTAATCAATTTTGATTTTGCAAAACTGCACGTAATCCAATCATATGTTTATTTCAAATGGATGTGTTTTTCCCTCAACAATTCTCTCCTTGTTCCTACTCAGTGCGTCGAATGTCGTGTAAGTTCATGGATAGATGAATGTTCTAACAACTTTTTGCTTTTGAATGCAGCTGAAATGACGTGTCTCTGTGCAAATGAAGGGAATTACGATTTATTCGATTTAAATGATACCCCGTTTCACTTGAACCAAGAACTAACACACACACAAAACAAATGATGAAACCACAAACAAAATTAGTCATTGGAATATTCCAAAGATCGATTATTACTTATCTACAAAAGCTATGAGTTGAATATTTTATCGGTACCGTTTTTTTTTTTTTTGTCATGTATGTTTATTTGTAGGTATTTTCTGAGGCCTTTTGACATTGTCTCGTTTAGTTTTTGTTGGTCTATCCAATATTTACTAAAACTGTTGCTAACGCAAATAATGTGTGACAAAGAAAAAATTTCGTCTTGAATCCAGTAAACTTGATGTCAGCTTGACCGAGTGTGAATATTTCCGCATTGTGTGATTGTCAAATTAGTCGACACAACATGAACCATACAAAAAAAATTTAGGCTTTCAAAAACACGCAACTATGCTTGTTTCAATGGAAAAATGCCTGAAGTTCTATGAATAAACTCAACTCCAATCATTTCAATGACGTAAAAAGAAAGTGAAAATTGTGATAATTTACGGAGAAAAAAAGAAACCAGCCACTGACAGATAGCTGGGGATATATGCTGAGCATAGAAACTCATCAAGCTAAGATTGGGACATTTTGACTTTGTGACGTGCCTTCCATACAAATTCATGATGGTATCCATGAATTTGTATGGATTTCACCATGAATTTATATAGAGGTCATGTCACAAAGTCAAAATGTCCCAATCTCAGCTTGATGAGTTTCTATGCTCGGCATATATCTCCAGCTATCTGTCATTGACTGAAGGAAACTAAATGAAATTGAAATAATTACTAAATTACTAACCGTTTGAAAATCCGGAGCTTTGCTGCGAATGATGTTGTTGTTGATGCTATTTTTCACAGTCAAAAAAGTGTTGTTGTTGTAGTCGGCTCTGTAATCTCGATAAAGAGCGAGAGAAAAATGTAGCACATGCTACATTACCCAATGACTGATTATAATATGTCTACTGGAGCATATTTTCCTGCCGTTTTTATTAAAAATCACACGTGATTGTAATCAAATGTGGGGGGGAGGGGGTATTCTCTTTTTCTTTTTTGTTCTTCTTCTTAATATGGAACGATCGGAAAGTAATAGGGAAATTTCAGACAAACAGCAGATGACTCATTTGGATTCATCGATTTCATGTGATGTTTACACACTCACTTTAAACAAATTGATCAACTATTTGAACTCAAAAGCACGAACAACCGCTCAATAAATCAATAAAAAAGCATTACAAATTAAAATGAAATAAAAACGGAATAATGACAACAAACAGTGACCGCAGCGCGAACACAACGCGCAAAATAAAAACCAAAAAAGTTTACAAATTTCCACACAATTCGGATCGAATTTAATTCACTGGTGTGCACAACACATTTTTTTTTTTGATTTAGTTTTGGGTACGCAATTATGGTGTCGAAATGTGCGGCTGTTGTTTTGTTTCCTTGTTTTGTCTGTTGGATTGATGCTGTTGTTGTTGTGTAAATTAATTTCGTTTAGAGACGTTGTAAAATATGTGTTTGCATCTTTTCATCTTAATTAGACTATAAGGAACTATTCTTTCTTTTGATTAACACTTTTCGATTCAATTCAATTGTCTTCTCCGCACACTCCGTAAACACATAAACAACCACACATATACACAAGCAACGCAATTAACTGGCGCTCACTTTATGATTGCGTTCAGAACAACAACAACAACAACAACAACAACAATAATAATAACGACAAAAAAAAAACAAACACATAAAATTCATCGAAACATACTCTGGACAAATAAAATCACGGGATAGAGAGGCCGATGTTAAATTGAAGCAACCAATTGAAAGAAAAATCACATGAAGCGAATTTTGTGTATATTATGGTGAAATGCACAACACTTTCATCAGTTATAAAAGGAAATTGGTTCGGATTGCATAAAAAATTTGATTAATTGCTAGTCGACAGTTCGGTTTCAACCAAATTAAAACAAATAAATACGGAAAAAAACCAAAACAAAAATTTTCGTTCGCTCGGCTCTCTCTATCTGCTCACTGTCAGTTCATCCGCATTGCAATGTGGTCTGAACTGTGTGTACTGTTGTGTGTTGCGATTCAAACAAAAAAAAACGAAAACTGGTTGAACTTAAAACAGAACTTATACTAAACGAATGTCAGAAAAGTGTATGCTATTTTATTCATACACAACACATGCTATGTCTCTGGTGCGCGCGTGTGCTCGTTCCCTCACTCGCTCCTTCGCAACAGGCCATCTCATCGTTCGTATATATACATATATGTAATATAGGAATTGTGTGTGACACGCGCTTGCTATTACAACGGTTGTGTTCAACATTGGTTGGGTACTCGTAGCCAATTCTTTTTCGATGTAATTGTAATTGTATTCGGATTCGAAATGTAATCGAGCAATACGTCAAAAGCAAGCATTGTGCTGCTTCAAAATATGTGCGTGCGCATCGCACGCAAACACATGCAGCCGCAAGTGTACAGGCAAATCGACTGTCAAAATCATATGCGCACTAACACAGATTCTCCTCTCGTATCGTTTGCTATTCGCTGTGCTGTTGCTGTTGCTTTTGCTGTTGCTGTTGCTGTTGTGTGTTGACGTTCGCCCTTTTCACAGTTCGATCTGTATCAGTGTCCATGTGCCCGAGCCGCATAATGCACAGGGTGTCTTGTTTCCATCAGTTTTTGCGCAATCGTGTGCTATTTTGCTAAAAAAATTTAATTGAGCCAAATTGAACGGTTTGAAAAACCGTTTTTTTTTTTTCTTCATTTTACTAATTACAATTTTTACGATCTGTTGGTAGAAGTTAAAAGAGAATTATTTTAAGGTATTTTCAATGAAAAACTATCGGAATGAGATAGATGGTGCAAATATTGAAGACAATCAAATAATACTATGCCTAGAATAGTTTGTGCCGAAACATTATGTACTATGGTCACAATTGATTTTTGAGCGGAATTGTACGACTGTAGAATGAGTGTAACACGTGCGACGATTTTGTAATGCATACTCGTAAAAAGGTATAACCACCACGGCGACATTAACGACAATAATCAGCATATTTCATCCATTCAGCACATTATTTAAATTACATACTTCAATTCATATGACACACATTGCGATGGATAATAATCAATGGAAAATAATTGTGCAATTTTACATTATGCATTTCATCGATTGTGTCTTGCACGAGTTATAGATCAAATGACAATGGAGCGTGTTTGGCCAGAAAAACGGGTAAAAATGGATATTTGAATTTCAAACCGAAAAAAAAACTGAATATATATAATGGCTCATTCAAGAATATTTCGCTGAAATGACCGAAAGATAGCGCATATCTCGCCGCAGAATATTATCTTGATTTTGATTGAACAATTGTAATGGAAAACCGCAAACGGCATATGGCGAACAATAATACAAAGATGCACCGAATCACGCATTTGAAATTATACGCAGCGTTTGAAAAATTTCTATCATTACTCGAATTCGTTTTGACGAACATATTTTTTTTTTTTATTTCAAATAATGACAAACTTAAAGTCAACACACATTCAAATGGATTCAAAAATGTTAAGCACTCAATGTGACTTGTAGCTTTCTGTGTGACAGCGAAAATGATATTGAATATTTTGTGTCGTCTTGAGCGCACACACACCTATACACTTGATGATGTCTATAGAAGTATTGTACATTGAACGCGGCCGTCGCCGTCTCCGTCTCCGTCGCCACCAACAAGAACTAACATGAACACATGACTTTCAATCTCTTCTTCCTTTTATTCTTTTACTCCCCCCCCCCCCCCCCTTTTACCGGCATTCCCAATACATTTGGCAGCGATGCCTATTTCAACGTTGAGGACAACACAACACATTGCTAGACATTCATAAATATTTCGATAGTGATAATGACAACCGATACAATCCAACCACACACACACACACACGAACTTTGTTTTTGAAAATGTTCGCAAAATGCGCATTCAAAATATGTGTTAAGCCCTAACAACAAAAATGACTAGCTCATCTTTAGAGCATCAATCAACGCTTCATTCGAAACACACAAACATGAAATCATTAATTTAATTTTTTTTCTGGTTCTGAGAAAAAAGAAGACGATCCGATGGCAATAAACTCGTTCGCTTGCCCTACTTGCTAATGTAGACTCTCTTTTTTATATTTGACTTGAATTGGACTCACTTCTTTTTTTTTTTGACTAAGCCGAGACATTTTTGCGCTGTATTTGATAGAATTCACGGAATATTTTGACCACACCAACCATGTATTGGCTTTTATTTATGAGCATCACACTGTATCGGATCCAACGATCTTGAGGCAAATAAGAAATATTACTAATATTTGTATTATTTAAATGAGAAAAAAGCGTTTCGCACGCTACACCAATTGCACTTTCTTGCAACATCTTGCATCGTTGCGATCTGAGCGTTTTTGGAAAATGGAAAATAGAAGAAACATATATTTCTTTGAACCCATTGATCATAAATTTTAATTTAAGAACTAAATTGATGGCATTCTGTATGAAGTGATCGCATTTGGAATTCACGCCAGAATAAATATTTGGCGATTCAAAACCATTTTCACTGCATCAGATGCAGTTCCTGTGACAAATGTTATGTTTTTTCCATATGTTTTCTTCATTTTACACTTTTGATGCATTTCAAATTTATTTATGGGCCTACGTCACGTCGACTGTCGGTCTTATCGTCGCTCTGCCAATTGCCACTTTATTGAATTTGCTTTAGTTTTGGTTGCTCTTTACAGAAAGAAAAAGAGACGCGAACCCTGATGCAATAGTCATTTTTTTTTTCATTATTATTACTATTCACGCCCACCTAATCATAGACACGAAATGAACAAAGAGCGAAAACTCGGATGTGAAAACGATAATTGAGAAATTGAGGCTACTTATTTTTAGCACGGTTTAGTGAATGAAAGTTGGCGAAATGCAAGTCATCACCTAAGCGTCATCTCAATTATTTGTTATTGAGTGTGCTTTGTTTGTGTGTATGAGTGTGCACGACAGCAAATCCGACTACACTTCCTCCAGTTGAGTGCGAGCCGTTATCACGGACTTCCTACTTTGCACTTCAACCACATTTTATTGTCTTTTTTCTTTCAAAATATTCCGTTTCTCAATGTCGCCCACTTACTTTCCACTAAACTCATTATTCATTGCAGTACACATGTATCTGCGCACTCGATCAATTCACAATATCAAATTCGTCTTCTTTCGCCTGAGAAAGTGAACAATGCGCTACAAATACTTTTCTTGTCATTTTCACTGGAACTTTTTCAAATCAACCGATTCAACTCTTCGAAATTAGCATTCTTTCGAGAGGAAATTGCCAAACAGAAGTATTTTTTTTTTTTTTTACAAGGAATCCTTTTATAAAGCAGGTTTTGCATGGGGATGAGTCGAGGAAAATTTTGCGAGATCCATTGAACTTGCAAATGGATTAATTAATTATGATCCGAACATATGGAAAATTAAATGAGCGCTTGCAAATGGGTGTGTGTGTGTGCGTTTCGAAAAGTTCAACATGCGACTGAACAATGTTAACAGTAACATTATGAAAAATAAATCAAAATTCAAATTGTGAAAATGCGTCAACATGATGAAAGCCTTTTGGACAGATACACACAGCTGATGTGGGCGATTAATTAAGACATCTATCTACTGTTGCGCAAATCTCTGGGGTCAATCAACCGGCTTACATAATTTTTTCTTCTCATTTCTAGTTTAGAATGTCAAAACAATGATTATTATATGCAATTCAAAATGTAATATTTTGGAGAAAAAAAAAACGATTTAAAACTGATAAAATGTGTTCAAGTAAATCGAATGGAACGCGAAAAAAGACTGTCAAAAACATAGAGCAATTTTCCGACAGTCGTTTTTTTTTTCTCAAGAAAAATTACAACGTAGCGAAAAAAATACGTGGTTCGAATACTTGAATTAGATCTTTTTAACATTATCAACGGAAATCATTTGGCACCTTTCGCAGCGGAAAACACCTTTTCGATATACTATTTGACCTAGTGAGCGGATTTAGTTACAGTTATCTTTAGTTTCGATCGGATTTCGGTGCAAAATGAAGCGAATAATTGGCGGAATAGTAAGGCCGCAACGGCAGCTTTCCACCAATGTAAATAGAAGCGAAAAACAAGCGCTGTGCCCAAAGTGTGAATTTAAGCGTGGACCATAAACGAACGAAGAATGCTAAGAACACCCATCAAAAGGCTAAGAAAAAGAATGAAAAATCCATTCGAGCAAATGTAGAGCGAATTCTTTGGTAAAATCGGACTACGTTCGGTTTAAAAATACGCGAAAAATTCTTGGGAAAATGGTTTGTCTTCGTTTATTTTCCTTTTGGATGAAAGAAGAATGAATATACAGGCAGCTGCACATTTGTCAGTCAAGCTACTGAATTTCAATCACGAACGCGATCAAATTCTCTGTCATTTTCGAAGAAACGATGTTGCGAAGAAAGAGAAAAAAAAAACGGTGTGAAAATGATCACACGGAGCAAAAAGAGAAATACAATCAAGCCATGCCAGTATAAAGGAAAAACATATACACACGGCAATTGTACGGCGCACGCTCTGCGAACTATACCGTTGAGTGGACTTTATTCTGTTCAAGAAAATTTGAATATGAAACTTACACTCACCGATCTCTAACAAATGCACACACGGAAACTCATCTACGTCGTCGTTTCGGTATTGTCGTGCGCACCGATTTTCGTTCGGCTATTCCGAATATTCTGCTCAGAATTTTTCACAGTTTGTCTGTTTTTGTTGGTTCGCGGATGCGGCGGCGGTGGCGAAACAGTGTGACAATATATATATTTTTTACGCAACGCGATAGATCGATTTCGGAATCGTGAGAAATGAATGACAGTTTTTTTTTTTCGTGTGTGTCGTGTGAAAGTGCGAATACCGCGAAGAAAGTGAGCATGAGTCGCTCACGGTGTATATACACATTCGAATTGTGTGTTAATTAGTCAGCAGTCTTAATCAGCCGAACAACCAACACAAAAAGGAACTTTTTCGGTTTTCTCGCGAGACAAAAAGCAATCGACGAAAAGAAATCAGTGAAACGGGTTCGAATTCCGTGATACAGCCCAAACGGAGAGAGCAAAAAGTAAAAAAAAAACAAACAAACAAACATACAGTTCGATGATTAGAGTTAGAGAAAATTCAATCAGCTGATTCGTTAAGCAGTTCGATAGAACAAACAATCAATTATTTCTGATAGATTGAATTGATGTAGCTTAAATACAAGATTTATTCAGTCAACGTAATTCGATCGGGTGAGTGTCAGTGCGGGAGTTTGTTGATTGTTTTTTTTTTCGGCGAATCGGATTTGGTTATTGACATCAATTTGCTAAATGTGTTGAAAGATTCAAAAGCTTTCATAACAAAAAAAGTGAACAAATAAGGAAAATATTTTTCATTGAATCGAACTCATGTACAAAGCACACAGAGGGAGAGGGAGGGAACATCGAGATAGAAAACAATGTGCCAGTTGGAAATTGTTTAATCAGTGTATTGCTATTTACATTTTTCATCTACGCAGTGTTTATTAAATGATTGTATTGTTTTTGTGCGTGGAGTGCATTTCAAAGTAAATTAAGATGATGAAGAAAACAAACGCAAATTATCTCAACAACGAACAGCCGAAATAAATAAATACGAACTTTGTGTTATAGGCTTTAAGGAGGTGGACAACAACGGCATATCAAAAAAAACGGAAAGTTTTTCGAAGAGTAAGTAAAAAGATGATTCGTTTTTAAGTTATTTATATTTGTGTGTTCATATAAGAGGCAGAATACATTCGAAAGGAAAGACGAACGAAACAAAAACAAAAACAGCACCGACACGCGAGAGAAAAACAACAAAATCTCGACTCATGCACAAAAAACAACATTTGTACACTTTGTTTTATGTATAGTGGCGCGTTGAAAATTTCTTGACTGTTGAAAAGTTGAAGCTAATAAACGCAAATTTCCCGATGAAATACCAGACGCGAAACGCTGTAAAAAAAGATGAAGCAAAGAGGAGAAAAAAAAAATCGGCTAAGAAAATAGACAAGAGAACGCTAAGCGAAATAGATAGGTCTGTCGGGCTGCATCGGTCTTTTTTATCATCAGAAGATGTCATAAGAAAGAACAGAAAAAAAGAAACTACGAATCACGCTTATAGCTGCCGTGTGCTTATGATTCGTACCATTTTTGTTTCTCTCATTTTCGAGATACAGATAGAGACATACCGTTTTCATTCGTTTTTGATAGTCTAAGTGATCTGCACTTGGATGTAAACACCAATTTTCAACGATCAGAAACACTTATATTTTCATGTTAAACATCAAATGATCAAGATCTGCCAAACTTCGACAAAGTTCCCACGACCAAACGACGTTTCACGGTGTATCTCAATCAAAAATGTTTGCATTCCCCGCCGAAAATCGGTGTGATGCCGCTCATTATATTTATGTTTTATTTTTAATGGGCTTTACTAAATTCAGCGTTCGCATTCAATTTCCGAATAAATTTATTGGGATCGAGTAACATCATGTCATGCCGTGATGTGCCGTGTAAAAACTAGGTGTTTTCATTCTGATTGCATGAAAACAACAAAAATTGGAGTTTCGCTTTGATTTTTCGAACGAAATATTCTTCTTGAGAACGCTATAGAAAATGGGGGAATGAGAGAGAGAGAGAGAGAGAGAGAGAGAGAGAGAGAGAGAGA